AGGACTACACTAAGTCGACTGACAGCAACCTTTCACATGACTCTGATTATGAATTTCGCTCAGGTTGTCGAAACGTCAGTCACCATTACTGACAACAGTCCTTTTAAGGACTACATTCACCCGGACGATCAAACTACGCTATTAAAATTAGGTTTGTTTTTTGAACCACTTTCAGACAAGATTCTCATTATCCTCCAATTTATTTTTGTCGAGGATTGGTGTTATTTTTGAAAGGTAGAAAGTGACCTGGCCTCTTTGATTTATGATACTCGGACTGATTTACATCAAAAGAAACTCAAACACAGTCGCCAGACAACGGAAACGGTAAAAACTTGTTATTTTGGCCACCTCATATCACAACGTCGAGATAATTCATCATAGCTCACCTGATGATTGTATTATTAGGCCTTTATGTAAAATTAAAATCAATGTATACAAAGACAAATTGATAATGCAGTGCATAAATTCACTTCCAGCACTTCCAATTTTAGCTTATAACTTTGATGATCTTGATCGTGACCAACCTAAAATTTTGGTATCTTTTGCCATGCCAGTTTGTCATGTGATGCAGACCTATAGATTGATAGTAAAGGCTTCTAAAATATTCGAAACAAACTATCGTAAAATGCACCAGGTGGTCTAGTCTTAATGAAATTTATTGCGAGGCGGAGGATGATTTTAGTCCAATAAGGGCGGAGTAATTTCGGCTTTTTTCTGCAGAAGCATTTCTGTTCTCCGTCGAGTTTCCTGCTAGGAATTAGTGGAAGCCGATCGATTTTCAAACCGCTTTTATGTCAATTCGATTAATAATTAATTGACTCGTCAAGAAGCTTAAGACAAATATAAATAAAAAAATTAACATTTTTGACTTGTTTAAATAGAGTTTTGTTTTTTGGTTTCCACAGGAGTAAACTGTTCAAAGATAGTTAACAACTCTTTAAACTTCTTTGAACTGCTTGATCAAATAAATTATAGGTGAATAGAAAGATAGATGGGCAGATGGTTTTATGAGTAAATTTACTAGAAGTTCATATTCGAAATTGCGAATGGTTTTCGTCTCAAGTTTTGGTCATTTTATTTTTCAACAAGCTCTGTTACAAATCTGAACATCGGGAAGATCAAAATTTTGCCATGTTGTATTCAAATGTATTGATTTTGCACGAAATTACTCGTATCATCACCACGTAGTACTCAGCTAAGCGCAATCCCGCAATTATTATACATGAAGTAAACATTAGAGTGTCAACAGGACATAGCGATTCAATAAAAAGAAACAGAAAAACTTGATATGTAACTGGTGTTTATGAAACTGGTCGCAGCGCGTAGAAAGAGGGGGACATTTTGGGACAGTTACATTTTACATGCTTAGATGCGCGCAGCGCAAATCTAGTTGCCTCAAGATGCAGTCATTTCATCTAGGGCACAAAGTTGATAGAAATGGGAACAAGAACCGGCCGGGAGAAACACATGCTTATCTGGTAATGGAGTTTTTTCAGACAAAGGAATTACAGAAAAGATTGCGAAACTGTACTATATTCTTGATTGACGCACAAGGCTTGTAACCAATCATAGGGCTCTATGATTGATTACTAGATATAGTGACCCTCTTAACTACCAGCAATACTCAGATTTCATTGGTTAAAAGGTAGTCAGGAAGTTAAAAAAAAATAATTGATAGATAATTTAGGCATCAATTTGTATGTCTTTCGGGAAGTCGGTCTTCAGAGGGTTCCACGCCATGAAGAATTTGATCTTTGTCTGTGTTCTTTTAGTTTTGTGCCTCATGATGTCTGCACTTGTGTCGTCGCGAGGTTAGTTTCACCATTACTCATTTCTGAGCGGAGGTTAGTGAGGAGGAAATTAGTCCCTCTCAATCAATTGCAGTCTCTCTAGGAAGCGGTCTAGTAAATTTCGGTTGAAAAATCGATTTCTTTCACATTTGCCCATGAATCTGCCTTAGTCTTAAAGTAGTCGAAACCGCCTTGTTTTTTCGAATTATTGCAAAATATTTGTTTTTTATTTTCCGAGCGCCGATATCTTTTTCTTTTAACAGCGTCGATCATCAAAAATGGCATAAGTTTGCCGTTGTCGTATTTTTGCACAGCTCTTGTTTGGGGAATTTTTGGGAAGTGTTCCTAATAATGGTATTTAGAGTGTAGTCATTTTAACTTTGAGAAACCTGCAATCTTATCGGGTAGCGCGCGATAAGAATTAATTTGTTCGAAGGACCCATCTGCTGTGATTATAACCCATGAAATCGCCTTTAAAATACTATAGTTACAAAAATGCCCTAAATAAATTAGTTGGAGTGTTATTTTATTAGTAGGTGGAGAAATATGGGAAGATAAAAATATGTTGTGGCTTTGGCGAACTTCTAGCCCAGCCGGTTGATATGTTTTGGACATTTTCGAAAATTCCACCTGACAGTGCACAGAAAGCAGACCCAATAACATAAGAGATTTACGTCTTACAACGATGGTTGACGCTTGAATTTAGCACATTGAAGCTTTTTTTTTGATGATGCCTTAAAACAGCATTTAGGAGAGAAAAATATCCATCCTTATCTAGAAAAATTGTGTTGCCGAAAATTGTCTGATAGTTCTTTTAGCGACCTATTGTTTGTCTGTCACTCAGCTAACGAGTATTTTTAGATCAAGACAGACTCATGAAAAAACTTTGAAAGAAATCGATTTTTTTTAAACAAAAATACCCCGAAGCGCTTTTAGAAAGACTGGATCTTAATGTTTGACGCCAGTTGGTTGTTAAAGAGGTTTGTTTTGTTTTTCGTTTTCACAATAGTATTAGTTAAATCGTAGCTATGCACTCTCTTTAACTCATTAAAACTGCGTAACCGATTGAGCTTTGTGAGTGTCGTATGTAAATTTTACTTTACTAAACTGGTTCATCGTTATCCAGTTTTTTTTTGTTTGGTATTGCACTCCCAGGTATGAAAATAAAATATGGCCGTGTGAATGCAGTCTTCATCCTTGAATTATGCCCTACCTATTCTTTGAGTCTCCTGCAATGGTTATCGCCCATTTGTTGTGAACTTTTTCTCTAACAAATCGTCAATGACGTCCACAGTCCACAAGAAAAACAGAATGTTTGGAAACTTAGCAATTCATTACACTTCACTAAATTTAGAACTCACGGCCTGGCTGGGCAAAAGCAGCACTTCTAATTTTCTTCAACTTGAATGTATACTAGCAAGTTTGAGATCGTAAATGTCGTATTTGAAGACAGTTTTGTGCGTTTATCTCTGGTAATCAACACTTGCATCACCCAAGTCATCCACCGGTGGCAATAGATATAGTCGCCCGCAGGACAAACAAAGAGGTTTAAGAAAAAAGAAAAAGGAAGTGTACTAGAAAATAGTTATGAAAATTAGTGTCAAAAATTATCTCTTACGGTAAGTTTGAATAATTCGAAGTTTATTCATAAAAAGTCCATAATCAGATCTGTCGACAAAGACAAATGGTAAGCGTTCTCTCCACCGACAGGAGCAGCAAGTTTTGACCCCGACGACATACTACCTACTTCATCACAGATATCCAGGCAAAGTCTGCTCTCGGTGGACAAGTTTCGCTATCTCGATGTACCTGAGCTTGACGAAATTATGGTATACGACGACTTTGAATGCACATTTAGATGCCTTCACCATCCTCTGTGTGTTTCCGTGAACTTGGCTGCTAAAGGTGATTTGTGGTGTGAGTTACTGTCGTCTGATAAGTACAGCAACCCCAATGAATACAAAGAAAAAAAGAGTTCGCATCACTATTTCTTTGAGGTAAGGACGATTTACACCTTGGTTGCATCACTTGAGTTGTCAGGGCACGAAGCAGACTAAAAGATTCGAGGAAGGACAAAACCCATTTTTTATAATTCAGCTGAGGAGTTAGTTCATTCAAAAATGCTATGTTATCAGAGCAATTACACTCACGATCACGAGCATGAAATCATCGCTTTAATTATTATAAATACATTTGTCATTGCTATTCATCTATGTGCTTATTGGTAAAGGATCGGTTGTGAAATGTTTGCCAATTTCGAAAAAAGAGAATTTGAGTGGGAGAAAATTGGTCTCCATGGTGTGTGTTCAAATTTTGACGTAAGAGGCCCACATGTAATCAACGTCAGGTGGACTTTTGCCCAGCTACGATAAGTTAATACTTAGTGCAGCGTAGTTTTCTTTAATTTGTTTAAGGCTGAAATAAAAGCACAATTTTTAACTATAAATGTCCAGACTTTCAAATTTAAATATTTTTGGTGCTCTGTCGCCAAAAGGTACTTAGCCTACTTGCAGAAAACAAAACAGGAGTATACTAGTTACATATCATAACAAAATGATTCTTGTTTCCCTCTAAGTTTTGATTTTAATTAAGAGCCTATGTATTTGGAATGAGAGGCTTTTTACAAGTCTTATCACAATGTTGCATCTCCAAAAGGAGCGAGACTTATAGGACAGGGGTATGGGTTTTACTAAAACGTTAAGGGAATTTTTTTTTATTTTTGCATCAGAGTGCTTGTGCAAAAAAACCCTGCAAGAACAACTCCACTTGTCTAAACGGTTTTACTGACAAAAGAGATAGGTGTTTATGTTTCGCTGGATTCAAGGGTCGGACTTGCGATGAAGGTAAATAAGTCTGCATGTTATAAGTTTTATGGAGAAGATGTCAGTATTTCCGTCTGTGACTAAAATTCATTGTATGAGCTCCATGCATGGAGCTTAGGAGGAGTGAAACAAAGAAATTATTAATAAACTGGCATAAGTCTAATGGTTACATTATCTCTTGAAAAAAAAAAAACTGAAAAGAACCAACAAAACAATTGTGGGTGTTCTTGTATATCCGGAAAACTGGAGGGCTCATAGAGATGAACCGAAAGAAGACAAACCAGCAGTGCGGATGCAGCTCGCAAGAATTCTATGCATTATTTGAGTGAAATTGGAACCAAATACTTAACTTTAATATACTCTACATCAATGAGGTTGAATGTTGCAGACATAGACGAGTGTATCGAGGGAACATCCGATTGCAGTGCTGATGCTGAGTGCAACAATATTAAGGGTTCCTACAACTGTACGTGTAAACCAGGATATTCTGGAGATGGACGGACTTGCGAAGGTAAAAGTGACCAAAGTTGTTATTCTAATTGACGAACAAGGGAATGAAAACTAAAGAAGCAAACTTCCACCCTAAAAACCTTCAAATTAGCCATAGGGTTTAATACAGTGGTAGACTTAGTGAAATTGTAGTGTTTTTCTGTCGGCTAGATTATACCGTAATATAAAAAAAAAAGTTATTGGTCGCCAATTAGAGAGAAATAACAGATTAGAATCATCCTGAAGTACGAAAGTTGTCAACTCCATTTCTTGGTGTTAAAAAAAGAGGGGGGGGGGAGGTTTTCATATTGAATCGGTTACCTTACATTTTACAGAAGTAAATTAAAAGTGTATTATAATCGTGCTTAATAATCAGTTCCTTAATGGGATGATGGTACTTTTGCATGTTCGAGAGAATTGCGACAAAATTGCAAGGCTCTCAAGACATCGGATCAAACGGTGGTCTCAACTTGTTGTTTGCACTTCATTTTTAAATCAGCATTAGTTTTGAAATTAATTGCAGTGACGACGTTCTAATTAAAGGAGAGTCATTTCAGATATCAACGAGTGTGCTACAGGAAAACAGAACTGCAGTGCTGATGCTGTGTGTAACAATACTAAAGGATCGTACAACTGTACATGCAAAGAAGGATACTATGGAGATGGAAATATCTGCCGTGCGGGTAACATTTTACCTGCTGTATTTCTTAATCTGGGTGAATTCGCGGCTTCGCTGCTTTATTCTTATCTAGCGCATTAGACATCGCTAACAATGCAAGTCACGAAAACACGAGTGACCAAGAACGTTGTGTATTTCCTATTCCACGCGTAAATTTTCCCTTTGAGAGCATTTCAAAACTCCATCCCATCTTTTTTTCTTAAAGGGTTTATTACTGTTGATATGTCTTTTCTTTTTTTCAGCTTCGACGTGTAAGGAAATTTTCGACCGGAATGTGTAAGTCAATTATTCACTAAGAACAAAACCGGCTCGGAATTTAATGAGAGAATATGAAGTAACAGTAGTTCTAATAATGATAATTCTGGAAATGATACTGCGCTAAGCATAGCAACCTTGATAATAAACTTGCACACTAGCTTCCATCTTGAAAACTTTCGCCTCATCGAAAAGTACTTTGTGTCATTTACTAAATATATGCCATGGCCCTCATCAAGTTTCAACTGAATCTCCCTATTTAGGAAGATTCTTTATTTAGTAGATCGAAAATAGTGGCGAGGTTACCCTGCACTTAGATTCAAAGCGAAAGTCTGTTTTGTCTCACACGGGAGACTTTGGATGCGGAAATGAAGGGCTGACGCCAATCATGAAGACTAGTCGGTAGCAATTTATCTGCAAATGAATTCACTGCTGATACAGGACAGTGAAGATAAACGACGAAGGGGATTAGCAAAATATGCGGCTGTTTCCCTGAAAAACGTCAACGGTCGTCAAGAGTCGCTGACCTTTCAGGTTTGAGTTGCTTCTGCATCCGCTCCTCTATGATAGTATATGTAATGGCGTCATCCTTTAGCTGCGTTGGGGCACTAAATTCTTCGCAAGCTGGTAAGTTTCTACTAAAAGATTTGTTAAAAGTACGGCTTTCTTCGTTTTAACCTCTGTGATTCCATTTGCGAGAAAATAAAAATGCAACTTTTCGGTGTATAACTCCCAGTCCGCTCCCATAACCTACTTTGTCACTTTTCCGATGGCTTGACTCGTGTTGACGTTCGACGCTTCGTTCGGCATTTCCTGCCGTGCCTTCGTCAACTTCAGACGTGATTCGTGTTTACCGCTTGTGCTTGGCCAAAAAAAGGTCCCATCCTCGTCGCCAGCTTTGATGTATTAGTCCAAGGTCCAGAAAACAAAACAATATTAGTGAGACAAGATCTGCCAAAAACTTCAACCACATGGTCAAATCCAAATATAGAAAACTGGTCGCGTGACATTGGGTATAAGGAAAAATCCAAACGGAAAGATTTACCAATTCTAGTATCAATGGACGTTTCTAGCTTGTAAACAAATATACCTCAAGAGGAAGGAACGAACATAGTATGTGGAGCATACGAAAAGTTCCACAACCATAACGCACCGATCCCAACGCACTACCTCAGGGAAATGTTTGGCTTAATACTTAGAGAAAATTCGTTTTAATTCAATTAGGAGAACTTCCTCCAAACACATGGAACCGCTGTGGGTACGAAAATGGCAGTGTCATTTGCTAATATTTTCATGGCGTTAATTGAAACAAAACTAATCCAACAAAGCGAAACTAAGCATAGAGGAAGCGGGAGAACAGGGGGCGGGAAGCGGGAGCTATACGAGGGCGGGAAGCGGGAGAAGAAATAAAGATAGCGATAGTTTGTTGTTTATTACTGGGTATTATTTAGTCAAAAACACTCATATATTAAAGTTTTGAAATTTCCATTTAATATCCACCAAAGGCCAGAAAATGAACAAGAATGTTAAGTTTTGGCACAGTTTAAAAATTAAACCCGGGTTTTTGATCCTCTTGATTAACCTGAAGACGGGAGCAACAAAATGAAGGGTCTCACGGGTCGGGAGATAAAAGGGCATTAAAGTACGGGAGGTGAGAGAACATTGTAGGGGAAGCAGGAGACTCTGACCCCTCCTGCCCCCTCCCCTCCCCCCCCCTCCTCTACTTAATTGTCTTTTGTCACAACGTACCACATGGCGGTTAAAAACTTAAAACAAATACTGATGGAGCATCGGAGTCTAATACGCAATCAGCTCTTACTGAAAACAAGTTTTCAAAACATCCAATCATCTCTTACAAAAAGGGAACATCCCTTAAGGACACGCTTGTGAAAGCAAAAACCAAATTTGAAGGCGATTATGCGACGCGACTACAAAAGCCACATGGGGAGTCCGTGCCGGTCTCTCTATCCATTATCAGATTTCAATAAAGTAAGCAAGACTTGATTGATTCATCTTTGCTTAACAAGCGGGAGACTGGTTCAAGTTAAAATCGATGACAAGTCGATTCTAGCACTAACGATTGAGTTTATCACTAGCGATTGATATTTTAGCACGAATACTTGAGTTTATCACTAGAGATTGATATTTTAGCAATAACAACTGAGTTTGTTACTGGCGATGGATATTTTGGCACAAATGGCCAGCCATAGGTTGATTCAATTTTTTTTTAATTCCTCTTTTTCTTTAAGGTCGCGACGAAGCCAAGTATACCCGCTGATGTTTGGTTCACAAACGATTCCTGTTTTCTGTCACATGGGAAACTTTGGATGTGGGGATGGAGGATGGACACTGGCCATGAAGATTGCCGGCACGCAGGTTAACTCCCTGTCTCCTTTGCGAAACTCTTGATATTATTGAAATGAACATAAGCAAATAAAAAATGCAATTCTTGTATTTCAGAGAACTTTCCATTACGATTCCCAATTCTGGAGCAACAGAAGTGCCTATAACTTTGGTGGAGGCAAGACTGGCTTTGATTCCCAAGAGACTAAGTTACCAACCTACTGGAACACATCCTTCTCCAAGATCTGCCTCGGTACGAAGATTGATCATCAGCTCAAGTTCATTGTCATCCACAAGCACGCCAACTCACTGTTTTCACTGATCGCTGATGGGAAATACCGTGCCACCTCACTGGGTCGTAACACGTGGAAATCGCTGGTTGGTCCACGGGCTTCCTTGCAGCTCAACTGCAATAAGGAAGGATTCAATGCAGTGGGAGACAGCCCTAGTCATTCCAAAGCAAGAATCGGCATCACGGCTAACGAGCAGAATGACTGTGGTTCCTGTGACTCCCGAATTGGTTTTGGCACAGGAGGTTTCTCTGATGATTCCAACACGTGTGGAAATCAGGCAACGCACTCGCCAGATAATGGAAACAAGCACATCAAAGCCATGGGTTACATCCTGGTACAGTGACAGGAAACCCAGTCCAACTTCCCAAATTTTAAGCCGAGAAGCCATCATGAAGAAGAAAATGTAGTGTCCTAAAACCTTAAAGGCTAATAAAGAAATGAGTTTAACCTTATATTCTCTTCTGGTTAGCTTTGTATCTAGTATAATTTTTTCAATGAAATTCAAAATATTTCATTTGCGCAAAGCCAATTCAGGATTTGTTGACGAAGTAAATATTGCCAAAGAGGCCATATTCGATGTTTACGATACGTCCACGTCGTTAAGTGAGAGCGAGTCATGGGAGTGTAACACAGAAAAGAAGAAGCACAGAAAATGTGACTTCCTTTATGTTCTTTTTGTTTTTTCTTTCCCGCGCATATTGTTCTTTACGCTTCGACGCTCAGTGAAAAACATGAAAAATGACGCCAGTTTTTACAAAGTAAGTAGGAACCCACGGGCGTTAACGATTTTTATAACAAATAATTAGCTCAGAGTATGAGAACTAACAGAATGCAAAAGTAATACCCTCCCGAAGTATTGCTTGCCTTTCTCGCTTTCACCAGAATGACCGAATTTTTGTGTACCATTTGTTCCGGACGTCATTCTCTAAGTTAAATACGATACTACTATTAAAAAGATGATTGTAAGCTCACCATTCGAACAGATTTCTTTCCGGAATATTTCCGGAAGTCATGACAGATATTCTTCGTTAAATTCGAAAAATTGGCCTAAAAGGATCGGTACGATCTCATCTCGTGATGTCATTGGCTTTTCTACTCGAGCCTCGTAAATCGGTCCTATTTGGTTTAAGGTTCAGATAGGAAGAGATAAAATCAGGAAGTAACGACCATTTTAAAAACACGATGAAGAAGAGTGCCCCGCCAAACTATCTTTTAATGTTACATTTTTAGCTCGCGATTTTTGGATTTTACGATTCCAGGGAAACAAAGGTTGCACTAGTCCTGACACCACTCTTAAGCCAAACTGTTCTTGGGATGGTGTCTCCTCACACCTTTTCAGTTGCCTCTTTTCGCAGACGCACACGTATGCTGAAACAAAAAAGAAAAGGAAATCCAAAATTGCAATATTTCATCATAGAACTAGCTTGATGAAGTTAGCCATTGGTATCCTTATCCTCGACAGGCCACCAAATTTGGAAATTTTGTGACCTTGGTTCAAAAGGATGGTAATTTTATCCATCACAACCTATTTGATCCCGTACAACCATTTTTTGCCTTTCTTCAGTCCATTGGGAACTGTAGCAATTAAATGAACAAACTCATCTGGAAAATTTTCAATTCATTAATCGATATATTATGAAAGCATGATTGAAAACTATTACTCTTTGTTTTCTATCCTTTCTGGGGTAAGCTCTAATGCCAGTTCTCAGGCCCTTCCTAACAATCTCCCGGTTACGACTCCGGCAATTCGATCGGATTTCACTGGCGACGGAGAGAGGTAACGATAGTTTTCTTCCGTTTCTTTGTTTTGATTTTCATTTGATCGTATCGCTCTGCACTTTTGATTACGACTGCAATCGAATGTATAATAAAACCTCTAGAAGTGTTGGCTTGATACAGCCTTTGGATCACATAAAAATCATACAAAAAAGATGCAAACTGAATTTACTCTTAAAAACATTGAAATATAGATTCAAAAAGGCTTCAACCGATTAATACATTAAACCCTTTATCGTTAAGAGAGAAAAACAAAATTTCTCCTAAAATTATTTCCCCTGAATCAAACATTATAACAAACAACTTAAGAAAATCTTAAATGTTAAATTCTCCTCAACAGCTCCATAGGAAATGTAAACAGAAAAGTTTGGAGAACATGAGTGTTTATGTTTTGGTGCAAATTGTTAATTAATTCAGAGAACCAGTTTGCTTTTTCTTTTAGTATTTTGGTTAAGAAAATTTATCTTCAGGAAAGATAGATTTGTTTTCCATGTTAGAATGAAAAGTTGAAAATCTCAGAACTTGAGACAACTTTGTTGAAGGGCAAATGCTTGAAGCTTAACCCTTTAACCCCTTAGAGTGATTAGCATCTAATTTCTCCTCACGATATCACCCCTGTATCACACATCAAGGTCATGAGAATAAAGGAAATAATCACCAACTAAAGAAGTTCTTGATTGTTAAACATATTCTCCTTGTCAGGCATTCAGGAAATATATAGAGAACAGTATGGAGAATATTGATACTGATGTTGGGGTGTAAAGGGTTAATTTCTATCCTGTTTTAAAAGCAACATTCCTTGTCAACAAAATTAATTCATTATATGCTTCGACGATGCAGGTAGTCGCGATAAACAAATCGCGGAAGTTGTTTAAAGCATGAAAAGGTACTGGATAGGTTATCGAGCAGCGAGACTCACAAAAGATCTGTTGAACGCTTTGAAAAAATAGACGCTGATGTTATGTTAAACTGATACCCCTGTATCACACATCAAGGTCATGACAGTATAGGAACTAATCACCAACTAAAGAAGCTCTAGATTGTTAAACATATTCTCCTTGTCAGCACTTTAGGAAATATATAGAGAACAGTATGGACAATACTCTCATGCCGCCACAGAAACAAAACGTTACTGCGTAACAATTCAAGTATCATCTTTAGGCAAATTTATAGAGTATATAAACGATGGTACGAATATTCTTAACAATAAAATCCCCTGATTAGTGCGCAATCACGAAACAGGCTTGTAGGGATTAAAGTATAGTCTCTCTGTTTTTTTCCACTATCGCAACATATATCGCGCACTACTTCTACGTATCAAGCACTGTAAACGGAAAAATCAATACACAGACTTCCTATATATATATATTTTTTTTTCCTTCTAAATTTCTAAATTAAAAGACTCTTTTCACGTAGACTGTCAATATTTCTATCTTTAGCATTATCATTATTGTTGGTTTAAATGTTGCTCGTTTTCCATTTTATTCATATTTCAAGGTATGATATTATTTTCGCTTCAGAGCGCTTGTGTTGATAACCCTTGCGATAACAATTCTACTTGTCAAAGCGGTTTTACTAACAAAGGATATCGCTGTTTGTGTACCACTGGATTCAAAGGTCCAAGGTGTAAGAAAGGTAACTCCTGTCATGTCAAACCGGTCGTAAGCTCGTGTTCACTACAGTTTTATACACAACTTCTAAAGGCACCTGTAAAAGTTAAGGTTCGGTTTTTTTTATAAACTCACACAATGACCATGCAGCTCTTAACTTACCCTTTGCTAAAGAGCTGCTTCAAAATTGCAGGACTATGACGTCGTATCCCACGTAGGTCTCAATTTGTTTTTCACATCTTATTTTCACATCTCCAATGATGACGTTCTAATTAAAGAAAAATATTTTGAGATATCGATTAGTGTGCTACAGGAACACAAGACTGCGGTAAAAATGCTGTTTCCAACAATATCAAAGATTCCTATAACTGTTCAAATAAACCTGGATATTCTAGAGATGGTTGCAAAGGTAAATGTAATCAAAGCCCTGATTTTATTTTAACGAACAAGGGAATGGAAACTAAACACACACATTTCAACCCATAAAATGATTAAATTGGTCATGTGTTTCTATTGAATCGGTTGCCATGAATTTTACAGATATAAACGAGTGCGCTGACGGAACATCCAAGTGCAGTGCTGATGCTATGTGCAACAATACCGAGGGATCGTATCGCTGCAAATGCAAACCAGGATTTACCGGGAATGGACGGACTTGCAAAGGTAAAACAGAGCCTTGTTTCAGAGTCTAATGATAATTAACTAGATATTGATAAATGTAAATATATGTTGCCTTATTGGTATCATCAAGTAAAGCGGCGGACAATTTTGTATTTTTAAAAGTAATATACTTTATAAACATAGTGAATTTGAAAGACGGACAACTTGTCTTGCTTAATAATCCATACCCAGATGGGATGATGTTACTCTTGCAAGGCTAAGAGAACTGCTGAAAAAATTCAAGACCATTAAGACATCGGATCCAACGTGGGTCTCCATTTGTTGTTTACACTTTATTTTTAAATCTGCATTAGTTTTAAAAATTAATTGCAGTGATGACGTTCTAATTAAAGTAGAGTATTTTCAGATATCGACGAGTGTGCTACAGGAAAAACGAACTGCAGTGCTGATGCTGTGTGCAACAATACTAAGGGATCGTACAACTGTACATGCAAACAGGGATACTATGGAGATGGAAATATCTGCCGTTTGGGTAACATTTCTCCTGCTGTATTTTTTAAGCTGTTTTTCATACTGTTTCTGTCTGTTTAGACTTCAGTAATGAGAAGTTCCGTTTATAATAAATATGTATATCGAGATATAGATTTATGGTTAATCGATAAAAACTTCCTCATGGTAAAGTGTTAAACCCTTTCACAGGGATAATTATTTGAATAAAGACGTATCAGCGCAAAGTGAATTCCGTACATTCTGGCAAGAGAGAGAGACTAATCACGCGTGGCAAGGTTAGTTTTACCATGATTCATTTCTGAGTAGAGAATGCTGACTGGATTGAGGGGTAGCCATGGGTAATATTTAACACATGTTATTTTGTTTTAGGGTGGGCCTTTCTGATCCTCATCCTCATCACAAGGAGAGCTTCTCTTACTTGTTACTTTGAATGTAAACTATTATCTTAAAATTCCAGTTATTCAAAAATTAAATAAAATAAAACAGATCTGTCGCAAAACAAAAAGGATTGATGCAAAGAATTACCGAGACCAGGATTCGAACCTGGGTTACTGCGGCCACAACGCAATGTCCTAACCACTAAATGATCAAGGCTAGTCATCCGATGAAAATGAAAAAAAAAAAAAGGCTAAATTTAACATAAAACAGGTTAAAATAGGTCTTAAGGTTACGAGGGATTCAAAACTCCACTTAAATAATTTTTACTTTGAAAAAGAGTTAAACCACTTTTAACTTTCTTCCTTTGAAAGAGAAAAATGCCGCGTTTGGAATGAAAAAAAAATAAAAGAATCTCTGTGCATAAAAACTCAAATTGATCAAGTGAAAACATTTATCCCACCATTATTCAAAATAATCTGGTAGCACTTTCATAAAAGGAATATGTTTATTAGTAAAATACCCAAGTTC